AACTTAACCCAAAGTCACACAGGGACCTCATAACTGAAGAGCGTTATTGAGGTCTTCAACTCAACCTCCAAGAATAATTTCCAAAACCACACAACGTTTTTTTTTTTTTTTAGCATTGCAAACCCAAAATAATAAGCCCATTAATTTGGGCCCAATTGATGTCAATCTGGAAAAGTTTCAGGTTCTTCAGCAGTTTCTTGCGTTGCGAGGGGCCCAAAAAAGTTCAGGCAGATGCTGATATTCAAGACAAAGCTGTTCCTGTGGGACAACATGAAATTCTGATGGACAGCAGGAAATTCAGACATGCAGAGATGATCAAATCATAATAGCAGGCCCATAATACGTTAAATCCAGAAATATATATAACAGTCCAATGCAGCCCACACGGAATAGAGGCCCAAAACAGTCCAAAAGCTGGCCAATAATGCAACCCAAAGCCCAACTATGATAAAACTCAAATAATGCAACCAAAACAAGCTGCCCAACTTAAGAAATTAAGAGCCCAAACTGAAACTTAAGTATATTGTTGGCAAGCTCAAAATTACAGGCCCAAAGATTAAATTCAGCCCAATCAAAACCCAACCAATTAATTAACCCAAATCAATTGCCCAAGTCTTTAAACCAAATGCCATTAACACAGGCCCATTATAAGTTGACCCATTAACCCGTCCAACCCAGTGCCTATTTATCCAGCCCATAAATCAGGCCCCAAAAACATCCGGCTACCTCACGACACTCGCGAAACAGAGGGCGACAGGAATGGGAACTGGTGACTGCAGCTCGCGAGGGAAGGGCGACGGCAACTCGTGAAACAGGGGGCGACTGGAATGGGAAACCGGCGACTGCAGTTCGCGAGGAGAGAGGACGACGTGAAACCCTAGCTGACAAGTGGCTGAACCAGGGCAGAATGGCCTGAACAGATAGCGGCGCCGGCGACTGCTGAGAGAGGAACAACGGGTTCCGAACTGAAATCAAACTCACTACAATGATTGGAGACGCGAAATTCAAATTTTTTTTTTCTTTACGGACAAGTTCTGGAAATTGGACTGAAGAAGGAAGAGGTAGATTTAGCCAATTCTTGAATGTTACTGTTATTGAAAAAAAATAAAATTTGGCCAGGCGAGCAGCCAGGAAACGGAATTCATGGGTGAATTTGTTTAGCACAGATTTGGCTCTGATACCATGTGAAGAATATTATAAATTGTATTATAATAAACTTGTTTCTATTACAAACTAGAAGACCCTATTTATAGGGTTAGAAATAACTGTAAAAGGAAATAAACATAAAAGGAAATATTACGTAATCTACTACTAAGGAAAGTAAATATTATAATCGCAATCTTTGACGACCTCTGTAATCTTATTCTATATTCTTGACAGTGCTGTTGAATCAAATGAGTAGCAGTTTTAATGCAAACTTTCTTCTAAATTCACTGGGAAGCAAGAAAAAATATGTAATACATTTTCTGATATAATTAGCAGGCATTCAATAATTTCTTGCACAATGCAGAAGCCTGGTTCCAAATTGAGTGTAAAATGGGACACTTTGCATTTTACCCCTTAAAATGTGTTTCAAGTGCACTATTTTAAAGAACGGGCGAAGAACTTACAAACTTAGAAGGTTAGAGTAAAAAAAGACGAGACAGAATGAGGGCCTCTTTGAACAAATTAAAAAGTTGGACACCTCTGACTGTCCATTTTTTCTTTTTTCTTTTAGACAGAGATTTGGGATGGCAGTTACTATTTATGCAATTGTATTGTATGGGCCTCAATCCCATTTTTATTTAGTTTTTCAGTTTATTTTATATTATTCTCCCTTGTCATATTAGCAATCTGCAGATTCACAAAAGTAAATAATTCTGATCATGTGCATTTGACTTTTTCTTTTTTTTTTTATCTGCCATGGTTGCATTTAAATTTGATTGAAATTTGAAATAGTTATAATGCCTATAATGTTTTCCTCTTTGCGTTGTGTCCCAATTCGCTTGGATTTTCACATGGAAAACAATGTTGAATATAATATAAATCATAGTGAGATAACATTTTTAATTTATTTCGAATGTCTAATGGAATGTTGACATGATGTTAAATCCTCCTCTCAATAAATTTGGAATCGACTACTTGAATTCACTCCTAAATTTCGTTCTGCCGTCTTCGATTTCACATTATCACGTTAGACTTGTACAAAATATTTCCCAACTACTTGAATCGTCATTCCTTTAGTTTATCTTCAATCAATGTTAATTGAGGATAATTAAACATGTCTTATGCCCAAGATCTTCCAGCAAAAGTGCTGAGATCACCCAACGGTGTTGCTTAACGAAAGTTAAGTAATTCTAGGAAAATATTCATACTCTTGCATCTATCTCTTATTATATAGAAGGGAGGGAGGTTTCGGTTTGTTTTTGTTCTTCAAATTCGCAATCCAGTGGCATCAAATATCGAAGTGATGGTCGCTTCAAAAATGAAAAACCTCACTTCGTAAATTCTAGGCTGCGGCATTCGTGCTGATTCGCATAACAAGACGTTGTCTATATTTCTCTCAAACCTCATTTCACGATCCATTTCACTTGTTTAGAATCGTTTTTGCTTTCTTTTCCTCCTTTTGAATATGGCTTTTTAATATGCATCTTTCCTCTTCTTTTTTTTTTTTTTT